TGTCTTTTAGAAAGTGTTTGGGCAGAAGTTTATGAAAAAAAAGTCCAGTCTCATTTGCATTATAAATACCATTAGATGCGTCTTGATGAGCTCTATAACTTTGTTAGAAGCCCAAAAGTGATTTACTTAGTAATAAAAAAAAATTTCTTTATATTTTTTTAAAAAATCTTCACATTTACTATTTGAAGATTTTATATTTAATTTATATATAAATCTTGTGTAATCTGCATCACATAGCTCTCCAGATAACTGGTGAATCATCTATTAATTTTTTTTTTTTTTTAAAGATCAATGTACGTACATACGTAGCAAGCTAGATATCATCGCTATCCTTTTTTTTTTTTTTTAATTTTTATATATAGATGCATATGTTATATATTTTGATATAGTATAAATAGTGTAGATTTTAGCGTGACTATAAACTTACAAATTGATCAAAAATGTTAGTGAACAATGAAGCTCCAAAAACACATGAATGTTTAAGTGACCTGCAATGAAAAAAAAATTGTGAATATGCTCAACAAAATTCAAATGCAAAATACTATAAAATTGCAAATGAATTTATAAAAAAATATTTAGATCTGAAATTAGACCATTCTACTGTATCAAAGATTTTAAAAAACCATGAACTATACAAAAATTAAAAGAGAAAAGTGGTGCTAAAAACTAGTTTCGTTATAAGTCTGTTAAATTTCTAGAACTTGAGCTCACTATGAGAACTTGGGTTCAACAAATTATCACTACAAATATACCTTTAAGTGACCACTTATTAAGAGAAAAAGGAATCGAGTTTGCTCATACACTTGGTATAAAAAAAGAAAATTTATTATTTTCATCTGGTTGGGTTACCAAATTTAAAAAAAGAAATCAATTTTGTTGTATTACAATACACAGAGAATCTGAAAGCGCATCTCTTAAATCCTTACCAAGATTTCATTACAACTACAAGATATTACATCTCACTACCACCCTAATGATATTTATAATGCAAATGAGACTGGACTTTTTTTTCATAAACTTCTGCCCAAACACTTTCTAAAAGACAACGATATGGAAGAAAACTGCAAGTTTTTTTTTTAATTATTGATATTTAATATATATATATTTATTTGTATGATTTTAAAAACTGATTTTTTTTTTTTAATAGAACAAAGCATGAATTACGGTATTACTTGTAGCGAATTCCACTAGAACACATAAGCTTCAGCCACTTGTTATTGGTCAATCTGAAAAACTACAGTGCTTTAAGAATATCAATGTTGCTTATCTTCTGGTGATTTATCGTTCTAATAAAAAGATATGAATGCGATCAAATATATGGAAAGGCTGGTTACGATATATTAACAGTATTTTTCATAGTCAAAAACAGAAGATTCTCCTACTTGTGGACAATGCATATTCACATACTTCTCTAAACTTTGTAGACTTAGATGCTTCAAGCATTAGTGTTAAGTTAACTAATATAACTATACACTATTTACTGCTGAATACAACCTCTTATATCTAACCAATAGATGCAGGCATAACCAAAAGCTTCAAATCAAAATATAAATGGCTTTATTCCCAGCATATTTTAAAGTTGTTTGAGAAAAAATATGATTTAAAAAAGAATTTTTTTTTTTTTTTTTTAAAAAAAAAAAAAAAAAAGATTCTAATTTATTTTATTTACTAACTATAGAAATAAGTTGAATATCAAACAAGCTATTGATTTTGTCACATGTTCATAGGATGAAGTAAGCGATATCATAATCAAAATTGTTAGAATTCTACTGGCATACTTCTAGACACAATTAATAGTGATGAACCAGAGCTATTCTTTATGGATACTGATGATGAATATGAGACTATCAATCTTACTGATAACGAGTTTTTTATTTCTTGTTTTTTTTTTTTTTTTTTTGTAACAAAATTTTATTTTTGTTTATAACTTTTAAACTTTTTTTTCAAACAAAGATTCAGAGGTAGCTGGACTTAAGAAAGATCTTAAATTATATTATACAATCATTAATGAACCTCTTGCTACAGAGGATATAATGAATGATGATGAAATTCTTGTGATGGTTTATGAAACCTTTAATCTTGAGCAAGTGATAACAAATTCTGAAGAAGATAACGTGCCTCCAACACCTTTAGTAAATTTGTCAAAAGCAATAAATACGCTAAATATACTTATTCGATTTCAAGAACAAAGAGAAAATGATAATGAATTCAAATCAGAAGAATTAGATATGCTATACAAAAAAGTGGATTAGTTTGAAAAATTGAAGAATGTATCAAAAAAACAAACTGATCTCTTCGGCTATTTTGGTGACCA